CTGGAGAGACAATTCATCAGTTTGATGCAAACTTGAAGCAGTGTGCAACCCATTGTGATTTTGGAGCGAGTCTGATGAGCAACATGAGGGATCAATTTGTCTGGGGTCTGAAGGATGACTCTATCAAGAGGAAATTATTAGCTGAGAAGGATGTCAGCTACGAGAGGGCAATTGAAATTGCCAGTGCTATGGAAGCAGCGAGACGAGACATGGGTGAGATAAATAGAAATGGTTCGGTAAATTTTATCAGAGACAATCGACGCAAAAGTGTTAAATTTGAAAAGACAGATTCTCAAGAGAGAAAGTGTTTTTGTTGTGGAAAAAGGGGCCATGGAGCCAATAATTGTCATTATCGTACTCTTTCGTGTAATTATTGTAAAAAGGTTGGACATTTGAAAACTGTGTGTAGAAATAATCCAGAGAATAATGAGAAACCAAAAGAGAGTCATAAGATTGGTAATTTTAAAAACAATGACAGAGGAAAAAGTCGAAATTTTCGTTCACAAGCTAATAAGGGGAATGATTATGGTAAAAGACATGAAGAACAGAATTATTTAGATGATGTTGATATTGTGGAGGATGTAATTGAAAATATGTATTCTGTTAATGATAAATTGAGTGATTGTGAACTTAGAGGTGAGGGAATTTCGTGTACTGATCCAAAGTATTTGAGTATTATTGTGAATGACATGGAAATAGAGTTTGAGGTAGATTCAGGTTCACCAATCACAGCAATTTCTGAAAAAGAATTTAGAACGAATAAAATTTTTTCTAGTTTACAATTGCGTTCTACTGACAGAAAGTTTAAAGCTTATCATGGGGTTGTGATAATTCCATTAGGTATTTTGGACGTTAAAGTTTGTTATGAAAATTCTTGTAGAGAACTTGAATTATTTGTGTTACCAGGATCGAGTGATCCTATTCTCGGTAGAGAGTGGTTAAAATTGTTAGGATTTTCACTTAAATTGATGAAAGTTAAGGGAAATGAAAGTATTAATAATGTCGAGGATATTATAAATGAATTTCCTGCGGTTGTATCAGAAAAAAGGGGTTGCTGTAGATTGGGAAAATTTAGTTTAGTTTTGAAACCTGATGCGAAACCAGTATTTCACAAACCTCGACCGCTTCCTTATGCAATGAGAAGTAGAGTAGAACAAGAATTGAATCGATTGTTAAAAGATGATGTGATTTATCCAGTGGAATCTAGTGAATGGGGTACACCGATAGTACCAATTCTGAAGAAGAATGGTGAGATAAGAATGTGTGGGGATTTTAAGGTTACTGTTAATCCACATTTAAAGGTTGACAAATATCCAATACCTCGTGTTGTGGATTTGTTGTCGGTTTTAAATGGTGGTGTGGTATTTAGTACAATTGACCTGTCACATGCTTATCAACAATTAGAATTAGATAAGAAATCACAATTGTTAACCACCATTTCGACTCACAAAGGACTTTTTGCATATAAACGTTTATGTTTTGGGATTGCATCCGCTCCAGGCTTATTTCAGAGGTGCATGGAAAGGGTTCTTTCGGGGATCGATGGGGTAGTATCATTTTTCGATGATATTTTGATATCTGGTTCTACGACGAAAGTACATGATGAGAGATTGCGTAATGTATTAATGAGATTAAGGGATGCTGGTTTGACAGCGAGGAAAGAAAAATGTGAATTTGGTAAAGATAGTGTGAAATTTCTTGGATTCAAGATTGACAAGAATGGTATTCATGTATTAAAAGACAAAGTGGATGTTATTTGTAAAGCGCCTATTCCGAAAAACACCACTGATTTGAAAAGATTCCTTGGGATGGCAAATTATTATTCGAGATTCATCAAAAATTTTTCGAAAATTGCCAGTCCGATGTACAAGTTACTGCAAAAAAATGTCAGGTGGTTGTGGTCAAGAGAGTGTAATGAGGCTTTTGTTAAAATTAAAAAAGCGCTGGTTTCTAGTGATGTTTTAATTCACTATAATCCAGAATTACCATTAAAGGTTACATGCGATGCATCACCTGTTGGTATTGGTGCGGTTTTATCACACGTGGTTAATAATGTGGATAGACCGGTTGCATATGCCTCAAGGGCTTTGTCAAAAGCTGAAAAAAATTATTCACAGCTTGATAAAGAAGCTTTGTCATTAATTTTTGGTATTCAGAGTTTTCATCAATACGTCTATGGACGTCAATTTATTGTAGAGACCGACCACAAACCACTCACATTTATTTTTGGAGATAAAAAAGGTATTCCAATGATGGCAGCCAGTAGAATTCAACGATACGCAGTTTTTCTTGCAGCTTATAATTTTCAAATCAAGTATATTAAAGGTGTTGATAATATTAGTGCTGATTATCTCTCAAGGGCTTTCGAATCAAGTGTGGAGGAATTGGGAGAGAATGAGAAGAATGATTATGGTTATTTGAATTTTGTTGAAGAGGAAATTGTATTGTTTGACTCTGATTTGGTTAAAAGCGAAAGTGAGAAAGACTCTGTGATTAAAAAAGTGATTAGCTTTGTATTAGGTGGTTGGCCAAGGGTTAAAGAGGAAGGTTTGGAAGTTTTCGAGTGCAGGAAATTAGAATTACATGTTGAGAGAGGATGTTTACTGTGGGGACATCGAGTGGTCGTGCCAACGTCGTTGAGAGCTATGGTGTTAAAAGAGTTGCACGCATCTCACATGGGAATTGTCAAAATGAAGGCACTTGCTAGATCATATGTATGGTGGCCTAATATTGATCATGATATTGAACTAGTACCTAAATCATGTTTATTGTGTCTCGAAAATGGGAATAAACCACCTAGAAATCCTTTGACAGTGTGGAAGTGGCCAGAAGGTCCACAGTTTCGGATTCAAGCAGATTTTGCTGGACCAATTAATGGAAAGATGTTCATCATTATAGTCGATGCATATTCGAAGTGGATTGACGTGCGTGAAATGGCTAATATCACTTCAGAATCTACAATTGAAATATTTGAAGATTATTTTGCAGTTTGGGGAATTCCTGTAGTTCTCGTTACTGATAATGGTACAAGTTTTACTTCAAAAGAATTTGAGGATTTTGTTAAATATTATGGAGTGGAACATATCAGGACGCCGCCATATCATCCTGCATCAAATGGTGCAGCAGAAAATATCGTTAAAACTTTTAAAAATAAGTTAAAAGTATTGATGAAGTCGGGTAAATCTGCAAAGAAAGCTTTGCGAATCTTTCTGATGAGTTATAGAGCCACTCCACATTGTACTACCGGTTTTACACCTGCGGAATTACAGATGGGTCGAAAGATGAGGATTAAGTTAGATTTCCTTCGTCCGAATCTTCGCCATAGAGTTGTGAAACAACAAGTTAAACAACAATTCTACGCACCGGGTACTCATCAAAGGAGTTTTGAGATTGGTCAAAGAGTTATGGCAGCAAATCATAGCGGTGATAATTTTGTTTTGGCTACTGTGGAGGAACAACTATCTCCAGTGGTTTACTTGGTGAAGACTATGGATAATCGTCTGTGGAAAAGACACGTTGATCAATTGAAGGGATGCGCAGTTTTCCCTGATCACAAAGTGACAACAATTCCTAATGAAGTTGTTTCTGAAGTCATTAGTCCAAGTACGAGTAATAACTCAGAGTTGTTCTCTCATTCAGTAACATCTGAGAACAATGTTATAACACCTGTCCATGAAACGACTATTACAACACCATCGGAGAGTGCAACTCAAGCAGTGTCAACTACGTTTGAGAATCAGCCCGTTACGTTGGATGTTCCTGCCCCAGTAAACATTCCGGATGTCGATACTTCTTTACGTCGATCAACTCGTGTTCGTCGTGCTCCAACCAGACTGAATTTATAAACTGACTTTTAGTAGTGGCCAAAGAAAATGTTGTATGACGAGCGTTTTGCGATAATGCAATTTATGTATTTTGACGAATTTTTGGGTATGAATTGATTTTAAGAAATGAGTCGTTATTACATTTGTAAGCCAAAGAATTTTATTATATATGCAATGGTATATATGATGTAAGTTTGATTTTAGATAGAATGCTTACAGATGTAAGGTGGAGGAGTTTGTAATGTCTGAGCTTATCCTCATGTTAAGATTTATTGGAGACTCGCCTTATTGAATGAGTGGATGTGACGTCACATTAGCCTTTGGGGCGCTTCCGTTTTTTGTCATCTATTGAATGACACTTGTCGATTTATACTCAATATAAAATCCACACAAATCATTGTTAATTATGGTTTTGTTTGTTAATTAATACCCTGATCCCTCACTCGAAACTTAACA